ACTGCCAGCATGTTTACGATTATAAAAAGAAGTAAAATTTCATTTTTAAAATTGCAACATAGAATTATTACTATAATATGACTCCTTGCACATACCTGAGGAAAAAAACACAATGTATTTATTACTGACTGAAAAATGAGTTCATAATTCATAAAGCTTTATTCTACCTGTGGAATTTAGAAACTTTTCAAGAAGAGAAGAATAGTGAACAATATTTTCTTACTCAGAAGTTTATCTTAAATCTCAGAGATGTCCATATAGTCTCTGCAAAAAAAAAAGGGGGGGGGTGAAATCTGACACTATTTATAAATGAACAAATATAGAAACCAATTTTAAAAGCATATTCTTTTATAATTTTTAAACCAAAATTATAATTCCTTAAATTGTCATGTTTAATTCCTTCTCACAACTAAATTGAACTGATGGCACAGAGAAACTAATTGATGGTAAAGAAATCCTTTATGCTATTTTAACAAAAGAAAGAAATAGAAATCAATCTTCTTAATTTGGTGACTACTAAATACACAGCTTCAGGGTGAAAGCCCTTTGTTTTCACAATGGAGGGTGATCTGCAGTAGATCATTTGGCCCATAGAACAGGTAGGCTTCTTGGAGCAAATAGATGAATTAACCAGTTAGAGGTGAAATGGCTCAAAGGAATCAAAACCAAATAAAGAAGGTACAAGAGTAAAAGTGTATTTCTTCTGGTGGAGGAGCAAACTTGGATTATTAGTTGATTTATCTGTGTGTGGTGGCTTATGAATGAGATTTGTATATTTTTTTTTCCAAAAAGCTTGGTATTTCTTCTGCTCAAAAGGCTAACTAAAAATTTGAGCACAGAATCAATGAACAGATCATAGAAAAACAGAAAAACATTTAGAGCATGGAGGAGAAGCAACAGGAAGACTGCCATGAAAGGAGAAAGAAGAAATTCAGAAAATGAGGCTGTTATTATACACAGGATCTTTTTCCACATGTTCCCTTGTTGCTCTGCCAAAAAGAAGAAAGGTCTTCATAGGTATTATGACTGAAACCTGACCCAAATATGATAACGAGGAGGTTAGAATATTGCAAATCCAATATATTATTCAAGTCTTTTCACCAAAGTGCTAGGATTTCTCTCTCTTGGCCTCACATGCTTGACAGGATTGTATTTTACGGGAAAAATCATCAGAATAAATGGTGCCCCAGATATGATTATACTGATGAAGAACACTGTGCAGAAAATCTAGAATCTAGACTCTCCAGCTTGTAAAATCAAATTACTTATATGTACTGACAAGCAGCAGCTACAATTTCAAAGTAAAACACATAAAGAGAACTTTAAGAATATTGTACATTAATATTAGCTACTGAGCAAAATCTCTAACCATTGAACGGTTACAATGCCCTTGAGATTTTATGTGATTGGCATTTTCCATTCAGCTGCGCCTCACTGCTTTCTTTAGAGATAAGAAGTGCTGTAAAATATTCTTATAAAAGCTATTGTTAACATTTCCTGTGTCAATGGTTTGTTTTACCCATCAAGTAATTGTTCATTCTTTGTCGAGAAATGCTGGAGTCTATGGCTACATAAATAAAAGATAAAAAGGGCTATTAAGCAATATGCTAGGAGCTGTTAGTGTGTTTGTTTTAGCAATCCTAAAATCTAAACATTTATGTATTATATTTTACATACAAACATATATTCTACAATATTCTAATGCATATTCCAATTAGAGCCTGGGAAATTCTGAAGAATTTAGAAAGAATTTAAAGCCCAGAAGTCCATTTATGCCTAACGCCACCAGAATGTAACATGTTTACCATGATGAAAATGTGAAGAAATTCCTACCCTTGCATCCTCAGAACTTCCTTGAGTTTAAGCTTAAATCAACTATGACCTAAACATATTTGAGATGACTTACTCTTCTGGTTTCCTTTATCTTGTTGACAAGATACTGCTAAAAATATCTGTGGAGAAATAAAAAGTCACCAAATTGAGAGCTAGTAAGTATAACTTCTGGGGCCCCCTAGACAAAGAAACATGCCTTATTTTCCCCAACAGAATGAAAATTATAAAACCTGTCACAAAATAAAATAATGTTGTAAAATAAAACAATGTATTATATTTTTTATATACCATAAATATTTGAAAATTAAAATTTTTAAATGTTACTATTTCTAACAGCATAAAAAACATCAAATTCCTAGGAATAAACTTAATGAAAGAGGTGCAAGATCTTTACACAAATATCTATAAACTTATAGTAAGAGGAGTTAAATAAGGTCCAAATAAATGGAGAGATACACCATGTGAAAGGATTGGAATACCAAAAATGCAAAGAGCCAAATATAACCAAGAAAATATTGAAGAAGAAAAGTGGGGAGGCCTATACGCTCTATCAAAATATTGTGAAGCTGCAGTAATTAAGACAGTGCAGTAATGCTTCCAGGACAGACTAGACCAATGGAAACAAATAGAGATTCCAGAAATAGTCACACCTATACATGGTGCTTCATTTTTTTCAAGGATGGCACTACAGAGTCTTTACAATAAATGGGCTGGGTCAGCTGATTATCCATGTAAGGAAAAAATGACAACGGACCTCTACCTTACACTATATACAAAAATCAATTCTAAGGAATCGTAGATTTAATATAAAAAGCAAACCAAGAAAACTATTAGTAGCTAATGAATTATCTTCATGAGCATAGGTAGGCAAAGATGTATTAACATTAACCTTTCATTTAACATAAATGAAAAAAATCATATCCCCAAAATGATCAGAAAACAAAAATCTATATGAGATTATAGTGAATAAATATATGAGCTCATTCTCACTAGAGAGTAAAGATAATGAAAAGATTTTTTAAAATAGTAAATTACCAAAGATGAGAATAATAAATTAAATTCAGTATAGCCAAGATTTGAATACTTTCATAAACTCCTGGTGGGAATTTAAATGGACAAGTTTTCTGGAGACTGTTTGGCAATGTATCTCAAAATCCCAAAAAATTATATGTATTTTTTGACCTAATAATTCCACTTCTAGAAATTTATCCTAAAGAAAAATCTGAACAACTTTGCAAAAATAGATTTTTTGTCACTACAATGCTTACAAAAACTTAGTAGAGAAAAGTCTAACAACAGGAGATTGGTTAAATATACTATGATAATCTACATAATAGATGCTATGTCATTATTATAAATCATGATTTGAATCAAGGATTGCCACCTAAGACGTCCACAGGTGCATGATGTAATATGAATGAGCGAAAGGCTCTTCGGCAAACTGGACAGCACAGGCCCCTTTTGGAGAGTATTGCTCCAATTAATTGATGCCAAGTAAGAAGTGTGTGTGTGTGTGTGTGTGTGTGTGTGTGTGTGTGTGTGTGTGTGTGTGTGTGTGGCAGGGGGGGAGGCGGGGATTTTAGTGTTGTCAGAATACCCAATATTTTAAAAGTAGAAAATTGAGTTTTTTATGTGAAATCTCTTGATTTTCAAAAGTTGTCTATTGCTCAAAACTTTTTGAAAAAGATTCAGTGGCCACTAAAATACATCATTTGTGAAAACTCCAGGATAGATGATGATAGATAGATAGGTAGATAGATAGATAGATGATAGATAGATAGATAGATAGATAGATAGATGATAGAGATAGATATGATGTTTCTTTTATTGTTATAAAGAGCCTGTTACAGAACAGTTTATATAATATGATCTCTTCTTTAAAAAAAATGAAAGCATAATTTGTACGTGCAAACTCTAAACAGTGTCCGAAGGGGTATAAATCTAAATGTTAGTGTGGATCATTTTTATTTTTTATACATTTCTCTATTTTTACATTTTTGTATTAATCATTAATATTTTTCTCATCAGAAGATACAATAAAATTCTGTTCATTTGTAGTTATAAAGCATTAATAATTTAGTTTAAATTTTTGAGAACGAAATTAAAAATCAAAATTACTGAATAAATATTCTTGCACATTAAATCAGAAAGTCCAGAATTTAGTCATTTCTTCCATTTACCATGTCTGTGGCCTTGGGCTTTCTCACCTATATAATAATGAAACCTTCTATCTCTTCCTCGAATTCTTTTGGTAATATAAATACTAATGAACAAAAATAGAATTAACATCTATCACACTACCTTCCTATCATCACCAAAAGCTAAGTGTAAAGGAGGCTTATCCTACTGCAGTTCAGGTCTGGAAAGCAGAGAGACACTCATAGAATGTAATAATGTAAAAGATTTTATTTGTTTGTTTGTTGTTCTATTCTGTCCAGAGGCATGACTGTCATAGGGCTCTTCCCCCTTGCAACTTCTCCACTCTCAGGATCTAAGGTTACTCTGCCCCACACCTCACTCCTTATCTAGCAAGGATACCCAATGTAAGGGAGCAGAGAATGGCTGAAAACCCATTGCCAGAAATAGCATGCAATGAGGCAGAACCCTACCATGTTCTCAAGAATATTTTGGTAGGTCCTACGTACAAGTGGAGCTCCAGGAATAAACTAGGGAAGCCACTTTCAAGGATTAGATTTGACCCTCAAGTAAAGAAATGAATAAATATTGTTTGAGTTTGCAATCCTTTATCTTCTCTTACTTGCTTTCTGCATCACTGGTAAAGGCGTAGGTGGAATTCAGGAAGGTGAAGAGGTCCCCAAGTGAAATCAATCCAATAGCTGATATCAGGTGGGTTTTGTTTCTGTCCATATCCCTCATTTTCATCACAAGGGGCTTAGATATACGCATTCCATTAACCAATCTACCATGAAGATTAAGTATAAGTGAGGAAAAAGAAATTTTGTAGGCTATTGTAGCACCATTGGAAACCTACCTGAATGAGCTAAAGTATTTCCTCAAGTGCCCAGTTTTAAATTCAAGGAGAAATGTCATCATATCTGGTCCATAAATATATCACACCCTTTAAGATATTTGTGATATAATAATCCATTTTCATTATCATTTTTTAATTAATTCACAATAAAAGAGAACAATAAAAGTGTTGTTTCATATCTTTACTTTTTCAGTAATGTGCAACATGAACATAATAGTGTTAAGAAGTCAGAAATAACTTAACACAGTAGCTATAGAAGATGTTTATATTTGCAAAATTTCAACAATTATTTCCCTTAGGTTCCCCCAAATTAGCATATTTGTTAATCAAATTAATTAAGAAGCTTTTCAAAATAAAAGCAATGTTTTAAATAAATATATTTTCATAACCATAGAACATTTAGTTCTGTTGGAGGTAACAAACATATTACACTCAAGTATTTTACGAAAATATCAGGGCAAAAATTATCTAGATGCAATTATAAATGTATTCTTATTAGTCATTTGCTTTTTTTTGTTTTTCTGCATGTGTTAAAATTATATCATAGACGTTTTGCAATCAGTTAGTTCTTAAATCAACATGAAGATGTTATCTGACTCACAGAATTTACATCAGCTCAATGTAATCATATGGTATTGTTTGAATAATGTCTTTAAATTTAAATTTAGTACTCTAAATTTAATGCTATCAAAGCCAAGACCCCTTAGCTGCCCATGTCTGCTACAAAAAAAAAAGAATGAATGCTATTCTGCCACTTTGGAAGAATGAGACCTTCCTACAAATCTCAACCTTGAAATCTCATAACTGAATAATATTGTCACATCAAAATTCTAATTACAAAAGAGCTTTTACTGTGTTTTATAGTACCACATAGGTGGGTATAAATTCACTTATGATCAGCTTTTCCATTGAAATCATATCTGTTTAGTAAACAACTATAAAAAGCTTTCTAAAAATTGATTTTATTTAATAAATATTTTTAAGAGTTTGCTAACTGAAATGACTTTGCTGATCTTCCCAGAAATTCTGATTATTTGTTTATCTTTCATTCACTTTTATTTCTACTGTGATAATTAGAAATTTTTCTAATCTATATTTAATCTATCAAAACATCTATGAATTTGAAAATTTGGCATCCTTCAATAATAAGCTGTTAACATCTCTAAATTAAACGATGAAGGTAGAGAAGTAAAGTTACACAGCAATAGATTATAGTGAATGCTCTTTAGAATTTAGATTAATAAATTTTTCCCAAAATGGTACAGTAATAACTTACTAAATGAATAATGCAACACAGAATTGATTTTAACAGGACTTCAACCTCTCTCCCCTTCTCTCTCTCTCTCTCTCTCTCTCTCTCTCTCATTCTCTGAGACAGACACACACACACAACACACACACACACACACACACACACACTTCCACCAACATCTATACCTGGGTGTATACACAATCTCAGAATTTAAAACACTGCTACTAAACATTTTAACTTAGATAAATTAACTACATTAAAATACTGACATTGTGAAAATATCTGTTTATGTTCATAGAGGGCATCTTTTTGTGAACATCTAAAAAGCTGAAGGAAAGACCAGAAAGAAAATCAGAGTCTTTGACTGAAAGGACGAGGGAATGCACGGATATGCTCAGGGTCACAGCTTTCCATTCTCCTCGCCGCTTTCCTTCTCCTCGATGGCTTCCAGGCTGCGCTTGCTCTTGGTCTCGGCACTGCTGCTGGGGGCTTTACTAAGTCCACAAGACAAGCACGCCAGCTGGATCTGCTTCATGTTTTCTATAGCTTCATTCTTTGCATTCTTCAGCAGATCTCCTTGACCCTACAAACAGGTAGAAATACACACCACAGAAAAAAGTTATTGGCCAGGCATATCCTGAGTGACTACTGCTCAGTGAGGAAGGAAACAGACCCAGACCCGAGAACTCAGTTTTCCAGGGAGCCTCTTGAGAATCCTTTAGTAGGAAACAAGCTTGAGAGGACCCTCCTCTGAATGCGCTGAGGACAGTCAGCCCTTCCACCACCATGGTCTGAGATTTAGCATACTGCTGCAACTCTAGTCCTAGCATTCCTAGGCTTGGGAGAAAGCAAAGAAAGAAACTCTGCCTTAAAGAACTGAAAATTAAATCAGCTCCTCTGTGTACAAAAGCTTACAAAGCAAAATATCTTTCGTAAAGTAAATCACACACCTTGGTTAACTGGTTTGTGTATATA